AGGGGCTGGGGATTTAGCTCAGCGGCAAAAGCGCCTGCCTCGCAAGCGCAAGGTCGTGAGTTCGGTTCCCGGTACCGGAGAAAAACCAAAAAAAGCCAGTCCTGGCTGGGCACAGTGGTTCACGCCTGTAATCCCAGCACTCAGGAGGATGAGGCAGGAGGATCATTGCGAGTTCAAGACCAGCCTGCACTACAAAGTACGCTCAAAGCCAACCTGAACTGCATAGCGTGACCCTGTCTCAAAAAGACAAAATAAATAAAAAAAATTTGAAAAAAAAAGTCAGTTCTTAGGGGTTAAGAGTAGTGAGCACCAGCTAGCATGTAGGATGGCCTGGGTTCCATCCATCTGCAGTACTGCCAAAAGAACCCCCAAAATAAAAAATGAAATAAAAAGAAAGAAAACACAACAAAACAAAAACGTTGTTCAGAAACAGCCACATTTCAAGGATATTCATATACAGTCAAACTTCTGTAGCCATAGTTTCCACATATGCAAGTTTTATGAAGCCTAACTGAAAATACTTGGGAAAACAAAATCACATTTATACTCAACATGTACACTTACTCCTTGATCTTTCCTTAAATGATAGTTTAACTATTTACACAGTATTTACAAGGTATTAGACTATTACAAGTATCTTAGAAATGATTTAAAGATGTAAGCGGTTATACACAAATAATACACCATTTAATATACAAAAATTTGAACACCTGCAGAGGTGGCTGGAGACAATCGCCATAGGACTGATTTACATTATTCGCAGTTAATTTTGCATTATTACTTACTGCAACTGACGTCCGAAATTTTAGAAGCTGGGGTTTGTGATTCTTCAGACAGGGTCTCATTGTATTGCCTAAGTTGGTCTTAAAACTCCTGGACTCAAAGTGAGCCAGAATGTATGATTTTACAGTTAGTATGGGGAACTGTTCACAGTGCAAGGCAGTGAATTAAAAGCATAAGCTTTCCAGTGAGTCCACGTTTTTATTTTGATTACTATTTAATTGCAAAAGACTTTGGGCCACTATTGTATTTACCTAATCTCTACCTCAGTTTCTTTTTCTGCAAAAAGAGGTGCACCTCTATCCAGTTATTATAAAGACTGACATTATAAAGTATCAGAGGAAAAGTAAAATATTAGAAATTCAGAAACATACTATGATAGGAAGACCTAAGATTTTTCTGATAGGAAATCCTGAATTAAAAAGCAAAACCAGACTTGGAATACAGCTCAGTGGTAGCAAACATATTTAGTATCCATAAGGCCCCAGGTTCAATGTCCAGCAGCACAGGGAAGGGGGAACTCTCTAAAATGTCTCCAGTGACCAGTGAAAACTGACATGTAAGCTGCTCTGAGAACTACACACATGGCTTTCCTATTCTGATTTTAATTCCTTTTTTTATTCAACTTATATTCTCTAGCACACTCCTGTCAAGTCAATAATATCCAATGAACAAATAAAATACTTTTACCTCTCTTTAACCTATTAGTACTGTCAACCAAATTCTAGAAAACCGTATCTTCTCAAGCTACAGGTTTCCTCTATACAACAAATGTCCTACTTGAGAAGATTTTTCTCTGGCTTTAATTTCAAAGACACAGAATAACCTCCATTTCAAGAGATTACATAATTCAAATGCCTTTTTTCTCATACACAATATTCAAAGGGACAGGATGAACTCATGAAATAAAACTACGGTATTAGGAACTACATTCCCAAATAATTTCTCAAATGTGACCCTATTACAAGAGTTTTCACTTATTTTAGGATAAAATACCTGAACAGGCCTAAAAGGCTCATCAGATTCCTTCCACCTAGAAAACAAGAGACAGACGATTTTCTCGATATCATTCCGAGGCCAAAGAATGAAATCCATCTCCTGAGTACAGCCAACTACATCCTATTAAAAAAAAAAAAAAAAAAAAAAAAATTAATTATATATACATTTTAAAGAAACAAAGCAAGGAACAAGTTATAGGGTTTGACTACAGAAGTATTTTACAAGTGAAAAAAAGGGCCACCCTGAATCATTTAATATCTTAAGCAGTACAAGTAATAGGACCATACAATCTGAATAGCTCATGACCTGATTTTTACTGTACTTTGTACAGTCCAATGCTCCACTCCACATATGGAGATCTACGCTCATCGAGGTAATGGTGTAAACACCAACTGAAGATCTGAATTTTTGTTGTTAGCCTTTGCAGCTTTATTTCCACCCTTCAAAATTAGAACCTATTTAACAAAGATGTTTTAAAACTTCTGATATCAATCACTATCACAGCTGAAATGCTATCTTTGTTACTGGTAAGTGTTGACAAAATACCTACTTTCCCCCTCTCCATTAACACAGCCAATGTATTTCTTTTCAAAGGCTAATAAACCTCTTCTAGTCCAGGGCAGAGATATCTCCAGCTTTCCCTCACAACAATCAAATGTGGATAGCTCTTGCTCAAGCAGACCCAAGAAGTTTAGTCATTGGCAGCAATATACCATCTCTTTTAAATTCCTTTTCTTTTTTTTTTTTTTTTTTTTTGTTTTTTGAGGCAGAGTCTCATTATGTAGTTCAGGTTGGCCCTGAGCTCACTATGTTGCCCAGGCTAGCCTCAAACTCACGGTGATCTTCCTGTCTCAGCCTCCCAAGTGCCGTGATTACAGGTGTTTGTCACCATGCCCAGCTAAATTTCTTATTTATAAAGGGACATGATGTTAGTGTTCCCTTCAAAAAATAAACAAACCCAACGCGCATAACACGTAACATTCACAATACTTCTGTACATCATTATCAGCAAAATGCCATATAAATAGTTATCCATGTTTTATTTGAAGTCAATTTTTAAAAAATAAACCCACTTTAGGAATTTAAAACTATAACACTGATGATGTTCACAAGCACCTAACAGAGGGTTAAAGGAAATCTGCTACATATTTATCCATAGGAGAATGTCCCTAAACCTGTAGAAAAGCACATTTAAAGTCTCTAAGGCATGATTCCAGCTATTAATACAGCACAAACACAACATGACCTGAAGATCCATCACGGTAACTGTTCATGGGGAGGGGGGCAACCTTAACTCGCAAAAACTTACCTACCAAGACTTAAAACCAGAACTTACCCTTCTCATAGACTGGTATCGAGGAGCATGGAGCTGTACCACATCCTTCTGTAAAAGCTCTATGGAACTTTCCAAGGAATAGCTGGAATCTCGCACACCTTTCAGGATATTTTCTTCATAATTATTTGTCATTACTGGTATAACTTCAGACACTTCAAAAAGTGCTGATTTCTTTTTCTAAAAGAAAAAGAAGGTGTATTGACCCACTGGAAGCACGCTATCTTTTAACACCTAGCCCATATTACAATGTATGTACATTTATTCCAACTTAGTAAAATTACCATCTAATTTTCATATATAAAATGCCTTATTTTCAGATAGTTAGATTTTTCTGGCCTTCCCCTACCCCAACCATGAATAAATAGTCTATTTAAAGAATGCTTAATGTTTCAGTTTTATAACATTATGGTATCTATATCAAGTACTCATTTTAGACACTATTTCGTAAATCCTATGAGGAACCAATACCAAACATCCCAAAAGTTAAAAAAACATTTTGGTGACATAGTACGGACTGTTCAATTTTGTTCAAGTGTTCAGCTGGTTCTATATGCAGCTAAATTAAAAACTCGTCAGTTCAAAACCACAATTATTTAGGGGCTTGGGATTTAGCTCAGTGGCACAGCGCCTGCCTGGCAAGCGCGAGGTTGTAAGTTCGATTCCCAGAGCCGAGGAAAAAAAAAAAAAAAAAAACCCATGATTATTCATACAAATTTACTATTCTTTACTGGGTCAGTTTCCATTACTACTTCTGCATATTACGTATCTACAAGTGTCAATATCTGAAAGGAGAAAATAATGTACACCAAACTGTTTCAAGAGATAACAGGAAATGATTATCATGAATGTAGGTTATAATTCTGTACTACAGAATATAGATCTTGAGGTACACGGGGTCAACTGCAAGGATATTATCCAATTGTAAAAAAGCAGATTTTCACAAATGTTAAAAGAACCACATGGTGAAATTTGGGACACCTTACAGAATACAAAGATAGATGCAATTTCACCACTTACTTATATATTGGATGTAAAGAACCTACATTGTAATACCTTCAATTGAAATGTGACTGCATTAGTTTTGCAGTCCACTTGCTAAATTAAAAAAAAAAGCGCACAAAAGGAAAGTCAGGACATAAATCCTTGGTACAATCCTGTCTTAAGACAATCACTTCAGAACAAATTACTTTAAAACCACTTTACAAACCTACTCTATCAACGAAGAGAGTACTTATGTACAAGTAACTTTTAAAAAGGAGCTAACAAGGGGACTTCCAAATACTAAACAGAAAGTTATACTAAGATTATATTTCTGATTTGGAATTAGTTCACTTTCATGCAAACATGGAAGTACCACTTCCTTATATCCATAACCTACTCTCATGTCAAACACCCTACTGATGATTTAAGAAACTCCATTCTTAAGCAGCAAAAACATGCTGCTTTCAACAAGTTCTTTTTGACTAACCACAACATTCAGTACTTTCTAGTGAACTGTGCACTAATTTTAAGTCTGATTTTAAAAAAGTATTTTAGGCAATTTTGATTTTTAAAAAACAGCACTTCTAAACACAAATTAACCATTTCATTGCTCCTAAAAATTAAACTGTATTCTACTTCATTAAATGTTTCAAATGAAAAGCTATCTGAGGAGTTGAAGAAATGGCTAGCAGATAAAGATTGATTCCAATTTAAGACTTTCAAACATCCTATTCATATTTTTCGTTAAATAATCCTTAAATTGTTATAAAGTTCCCTGTAATCAACATTAGTAGGGCCCACATGAACTGAGAAAAGAGGATCCTGCTAAGCTTTAGAATTAAGTATTTCTAAATTAAGAACTTTCCCATGCATGATTTTACAACTACACAATTCACAGAAAACAAGCACACTCCCACCACTCTTTAACCTAACACTGATAAATTATTTAAAAGTAACAACTCAGTATACACTTACAAAAATCATTTGTGCTAATTCACATTAAGAACTTTCAATTACCTTCTCCTTGAACACAAAGGCAATATACATCTTGAAGTCAAACTGGTCAGCTAGAGATTCTTTTTTCTTTCTAAGCTGAGCACGTAGTCTGTTCAGAGCTTGTTTCTTCCGGGAGTTTGGGTCCCCCATTTTGAAATACAGGTGGTACTAAAGCCTTTGGAAATTGTCACTAAACTATGGGCACTTTTTCTTAAGACTCAAGTACAACAGAAACAAGTCATTTTTCCCTGCTAATATGATTGAACAGCTAAAATCACAACTGTAACCCCAAAACTGTACCTTCTGGCAATATTAGCAGACTGTCATATTACAGGGTCAAGAAACAAAAGTTGCTGTCCAGTCATGTTTGGACAATAATATCTGGGGTCAGACAGGAAAAAGGAAAGAGAGGAAGGAAAAAAGAGGAGAAAATACTTCAACTAACTTCCTGGAAAACACATTTGGCTTAAATGCCAAAATAAAGGCTTTGAGGGGAAATGAAAAGCCTATAATCAGGATTTAGGTGTGCAATAAAACACAGCTAACACCAGTCCAATCCCTTAAATCCATTGATTTTTCTCCTTTTAGAAATGGGATTAAGAAAAGGAATAGGGAGAGGAAAAGTGATCTTCGCTTTCCAAATACTCCCCCCCAAAAAATCAAAAACAAAACACCAAAACAGGGTAGGTGAAATGAAACTGAAATACCCAATTGGATTTTACCCAGCCAGATCCATGGCTGTAGTACCTAATTACTTCTTAGTTATTTCAGATTTCACTATTGCTATATATTGTCAGTGCTTGTTATTGATTACACTTGGTGGTGAGCAAAGAGAAAAGTGCAAAATCAGTAGAGAAAGGGGAGAGGTACAGGGTTTCCCTGCAATCAACTACAGTGTATACTGAGGGCGGACAGCTGTTGCCCAAAGGAGCCATGAGAAAAAACAGCGGAGTCATTACCAACTTCCCCATCACCCACATTTTTACCCTCAGGCGGCTGCTAACGCTGCTGCCAAGGAGAATCATGATGGCAGAGGGAAAGGGGGTTTGTTATACAGTATTAGTAATTATTCCGGCTCTGTGGTTAGACCTGATTCATGCCCGGGAGCCCGACACCCTCAGCCCTGCGGTGAGTTCTACATACCCCCAGGCAGCCTTCCCTATGAATGCGACCCCGTTCAAGATGGTGGGGAGTGCGACTTATCTCCCAGGGAGCATTGCTGAGGCAAAGGTGGCGGGTTTTCCCAAGTCCCAGGCGGTGCGCGGGGACCACCTGCCTTCCAGCCCCAGGCCCCACCCCACCCCTCGCCCTCAGCGGCAGCGACTCACTCGCACCACGGGAGACACGGGATCACTCGGGGTCTCACTCATTTCATCGTGGAAACAATTCCCGCCGGGATAAAGAAGGCGGGAGAGGACAAATGGGAAGGATCGAGTGGGAAGAAAAGAAAATAGCTGTGTTAATATTACTTTTTGAAGTCAGCCCACCAACCCACCCCCCAGAACAACTGAAGCTCTCGGATTCGGGACTCGCTTTCTGCCTCAACAGCTCATGTTTCCAGAGTGTGGATGGCTCGGGATGGGGTCGTGCGCTCGCTTCCCGAGGGGGAGAGGGCGGGATCGAGGCGGGCGGCGGGCGGTCCCCTCCCTGTCCCCGGGGGCCGGGACTCACGGGCCGACTCGGGCGGGCGCGGGCCTCTAGCCGCAGCCCGCGGGCGGAGCGCTGGCGGAGGCAGAGGCGGCGGCGGCGGCGGGGGCGCTGCTCGCAGCTCGGGCGGGAGCCATGTCAAGAGAACACCACCAGCCAACTGAGCCCCTCCATCCCCGCCGCAGTGCGCACGGTGACCCGGCCGCCCGCGCTGCTGCCGCCGCTCAGCCCCCGCCTGGGACCCATAGTCTGGCTCGGCGCCCCGGCGGCGACGGAGGAAAGACGCGAGGGAGAGGCGGCGGGAAAGGAGAACAGAGACGCCAAGAAAGAGGCTCGGCGCGGAGCTGCAGGGGGAGGGGAGGCGGGGAGCCCTGCGCTAAGGGGTCCGTCAGTGAAGTCACCCCCCAAAATAAAGTTATTTCAGTTCAAGCATCTGCTACGGAGTCCTCCTTCCCCCACAGTCGGGTTCCGGCTCAGCAAAGAAGGTCGAGGAGACCCAGAGAGGTGAAAGGCCGAAGCGGATGGCGAGCGTCCGCGGTGGCACAGGCTCGTTACCCCCGCACCGGTGGCTGCGGAAGCGGCGGCAACCTCGGGCGCCTCCCGAGTCCGGGGCAGAGTCTCGTTTGAGGAAAGGAGCGAGAACAAACAACTTAAAATGGCAGCGACGGCCCTGCGTCACCCGCCCCTTAGCGGCACCGCCCCGAGCCGACTGCGGCTGCGCACAGTGTGTGCCCGCACCATGTGCTCAAAAGCAGGGGGGGCCAGGGTTGAGGTGAGACGGTTTTCCTGCTTACCAAGAAAAAAGAAAAGAAAATTAAGACAATATTGATGTACTTAAGATTTTAAATGGGTAAGTCTTGCAAAAAAAAACTCTCGGTAATATTCTAACCTTCAAGGTAAGTTTGAAAATATAGGCTCCCCTCCCCTTCAATATGGAGTTTTCCTGGGCGGGGAAAGGGACTCCCGCCACTCCCTCCACCCAGTCCTCAGGGCGTTCCAATGTCCAGGGTTGGCGCCTCGCCCCTCCCCTCCAAACGTCATAAAGCAACGCCGTTACGGCCTTCTGACAAAGCACCCGGATGGAGTCGCTCCACCCAGGTGCGATGGGCTGTTGGGTCTCGACGTGTCGGGAGCCGAAGCCGATAGTTTGAGTGGGCGGAGAGCGGGCGAGGGCAGGGCTGGCATGGAGGAGGAAGAGGAAAGTGCTTTGTGACATGGGAGTTGAGGGGAGATTTTCATTTCATTGTTAAGATTGGTAGCCCTTCCGGGAGCTGAGGATTCTTTCAGCGCGCCGCAGAGTATGTGTCGCGGGGGTCCTTCGTGGCCCGGCGCTTGTGTCCTCGCCTAGCTATGTGCGCGGGCAGCTAGGGCTTCCCGGGGCTGCGAACAAGGTCAGAGTCTCGTGGGGACGGTGCAGCTGTGGCCGAGGAGAGAGGCAGCCGAACCTCAGCCGTGGATTTTTCCTTACTGCAGAGGAGCACAGTTTGTTAGGATCCCCCAGGACCGCAGACCTAAATCTTGTCCTTTATGAGGCTGTCTTCGTCCTCCAAGTGTAGAGGGACTTTCGTTGCTGAATCACTGCCCTTGACACCAAACTGCAGGGAGCCAGCTTTAACGTGCTGAGTAAAACGCAGTTATATAAGTAATCAGCAAAGGTCAATAAATACTGCGCGTTAGCAAAGCCCGTGTACTCCTTTATTGGCTAGTCTGATAATTTTAGAAGTCTAGCTCCCAAATTCCTGCAAACTTGGTAAAATAAATACGTGTTAGCTGTAAAAACTTTTTTCACTTTTGAGCCAAAGGGATAAATTTTTAGTCTGGACTACTGTGAAACACAATTGGATGTAACTGCTCAAGAACAGTGAATTCTAATACCTTGCCATGGGACTGTACCAATTCTTGGTTAAGATGAGTTTAAAAATAGGGTAGTGTGCCCTGGAGCAAGACAAAACTTCTAATCCAGTTTTCTCTGTAACTTGGAAAAGCTGTAAAAGAGGGGTAATCAAAGAAATCAAAATTTGAAAAGCCATGACCCATAACGTTCCTCAGTGAAATTCCGAGAGAACTCCCATGAGAATTGGCTAACCAACTGTGTGGAAAAAGTGCACTTCATATGTTGAAAATGACTTACTTGGAGGCAGGCTGCTTCAACAGGATTTGTAGAACGATGGTGGTAGCATCTTAACTAAAAATATCTGCTTGATTTCTCTTGCCGAGTTTTAAATTACACCATTAGATGCATTGTGACATAGTGAAACTTTCTTGGTTGAAGCTCAGATTCCACAGTAAAGGGTTACAGTTTTAATGTAATAAAATCCAGTGTGAAGATTCTGTGCCAGCTGCCAGCCTGAAGAATCCGGACCAGTCTAGGAAGGCATTTCCTTACCAACTAACCGTGGATATCCCAATCTGCGTTTATAGCAAGTTAAATGATTACTCAAGCATATGCTTACATAGCCTAAATGCATGACAGTAAGACAGCCAATAAATTACTTAGTAACATTTCAAAAAAGAACCAGCCTTTTACCTTTAAAACATACATTGTACACACATGCTTTGATCTCACAAAAATTGAGATTTCACAAATTCCCAGTCCCTGTCACACTTAGGCCCAGCAAGTATACTAGATTTTTCAAATATTTGCAAGTATTTTCTCCTTTCATTAGTGCCCTGAAGTTTATTAAATAAGGACCTTGATTTGGGGCCATCTGTGTGATTAACAGTTTAATGAGCATGATAAACATCTACACAGAACAACTCTATGCTCTTTTGAGAACTGGTCTTGCTATGTAGTGCAGGCTGGCCTTGAACTCATGGCCAATCCTTTCGGCTCAGCCTTGAGTGCTGGGGTTACAGGTGTGCACCATCACCCTGTACAATTGGAGTTTTGTTCATAAAGTCTTTGCCTACACCAAGAGTTTTACCTATTTTATCTTCCTGCAGATTTAGTGTTTCTGTTTTATTATTTAGATCTTTGATCCATTTTGATTTTAGTTTAGTGCATGGTGAAAGATACAGGTCTAGTTTTAATCGTGGAAAGCCAGTTTCCCAAACCATTTATTAAAGAGGCTATCTGTCTTCCAGTGAAAGTGTTTGGTTTCTTTATCAAAGACAAGGTATGTTTGGCATTGTTTCTGCATTTTCTAATCTGTTCTGTTGATCCTCAGGTCTGTTTTTTTGCCAGCACCATTCTGTGTTTATCACAATAGCTTTGTAGTATGATTTCAGGTCAGGGATTGTGATGCCCCCTGCACTGCCTTTGTTGCCCAGAATTGCTTTTGCTATTCTAGGTCTCTCCTGGTTCCAAATGAATTTTAGGATTGTTTTCTTTAATTCTGTGAGATAGGCTATTGGTATTTTGATTGAGATTGCATTAAATCTATATAACAATTTTAGAAGTATGGTCATCTTCACTATGCTGATTCTTGCTACCCAAGAGCAAGGGGTATCTTTCCGTTTTCTTTTATTTCTTTCTCTTGTCTAATTGCTCTGGCTAATGTTTCCAGCACTATGTTGAATAAGAGCGGTGACAGTGGACATCCTTGTCTTGTTCCTTAAAGTGAAAACTTTCAGTTTTCATCCACTTAGTATGATCTTGGCTGTTGGTTTGTCATAGATGTCTTTTATCAGATTGAGATAAAGACCTTCTATTCTAATTTTCTATATGGTTTTTATTATGAATGAGTGTTGCACTTTGTTAAGTGCTTTTTCTGCATCTATTCAGAAGATCATACTGTTTTTGTCCTTGGCTCTGCTGATTTAGTGTGCTACATTTATTGATTTATGCATGTTGACCCATCTCTGCATTCCTGGGATGAATCTTATTTGGTTATGGTGAATAATATTCTTGATGATTTGCTGCATTCTATTTGCCAGTATCTTATTGAGGATTTTTGCATCTATGTTATTAAGGAGATTGTCCTGTAGTTTTCTTTTTTGGTTGGCTCCTTCTCTGGCTTTGATTATCAGGGTAGTGCTTGCATCCAGGAATGAATTTGGGAGTATTGCTTCCCTTTCAATTTCATTAAAGAGTTTGAGAAGTAGCGGCATTAGGTCTTCTCTAAATTTCTTGTAGAATTCAGCAGTGAATCCGTTAGGGCATGGGCTTTTCACTGTTGGTAGGTTTTTAATTACATCTTCATTGTTATTGATACTGGTTTATTTAGAATTCTTGTATCTTCTTCATCCACCTTTGATAATTCATATGTATCTAGGAATCTGTCCGTTTCTTCTGTGTTTTCCATCTTATTTGAATACAGTTTCTCAAAGTAGGTATTGACGATCTGGATTTCTACAGGATCTGTGATGATTTCACCTTTTCATTCCCAAGTGCATGGATTTGAGTCTTTCCTTTCTTTGATAAGGTTGGCTAAGGGTTTGTCAATTTTATTTAATTTTTCAAAGAACCAGCTCTTCAGTTCATATCTCCTTTCTGGCTCCTCCTCTGGCTCTCTGCTTCCTGTCCACCGTGCCATGTGCTATGATCAGCTTTCCTGCCCCATGCTGCTGTGCCATGCCATCCTGTCTGAGGCCCTCCAACTATAAACTGAAATGTGAGCCAAAATAAACCTATCTTCCCTTAAATTGTGGGAATTGGGTACTGTGTCCTAACAGTATGGGAAGTGATGAAGACAGACATAGACTTCTCCATACAGCTTCTGAAGTGTTCTTACAACATGGTAGTGCCAGAATGAGTGATCTCACAAACAGGAACATGAAAGCCATGACCTCTTTTATGACCTAGGTTCAGAAGCCATATTTCATCACTTCACATTGGTCACATGATCTGTAACGCCATTCAGTGAGCAAACGGGCTGCACAAGGTATGAATAATGAGGGATGGGGTTCCTGGGGCATTGTAGAGGCTGGCTCCTGTGAACATTTTTTTGTGTTGAGTACAAACTAGAAAGTTACCATTTCAGGGCATTGACACCTGCTCACGGTGGCACATGCCTGTATTTCCAGCACACTGAGAGGCTGAGGCAGGAGGATTGCAGGTTTCAGGTCAGCCAAGGCAATTTAAGGACTTGGCAACACCTTGTCTCAAAAAAATTTTTTTTTCTTATTTTTTTAGTCTAGAAATGTAGCTCAGTGTAAAAGGGCTCTGGGTTGAATCCCTAGTACCAAAAAAAATTAATTTTTTTTAAAAAGGTAGTTTACCAAAGGCTTCCATTTCTGCCATAAGATACACTACGTCTGAGGCCAGCAAATTTTTTCTTAAAGAGTAATAGAAATATTTCAGGCTTGCAGGCTACAAGATTGCTGCTTGAACTACTCAGTTGCAATATGAAAGTAACCATAGACAATACATAAGCAGATATGTGTGGCTGTGTTTACAAGACCTTTTGTTTTTTGTATTAGTCCATGTTTGCAGTGATAGTGATTAACCACGGGAAGTTGACACATGTACATAACACATCTTAATGTGTTTATAAAACCATAAAAACAGACAGCTGGCCTGCAGGCTGCAGTTTGCCAACCCCTAGACTAGATTATATTGCAGTAAAACTGGCAAAATTTCAATGGCTTCACAGCAAGGGCCAACAGGGGAAATGTTCATTAGAAACTTGCAAGAATAAAGAATTTTGAGAATCACATGCTTCCATGATCAGTGAAACAAAAGGGACACGGCAGATCCCACACTGGCTCTAAAATCTTCTAAGTAGAAGTGATGTCACTTTCATCCCCATTTCTATGGCCAAAGCAACCCAGCCAGCTGCGTCTGACTTCAGAGGATCAGAGAAATCTGAACCTACTGTGTATCCAGGGGTGCGGTGAAGCAGATTTATTTGGCAAATGGCCCTAATAACTCCCAGGGGCATACTGTTCCTGATTCTTTTGGGTTCTGAGGGTGAACACAGGGCCTTTCACATGCTGAGCACATTCCCTATCATGGAGCTACACCCCCACTCATCAGTTCTTCTGCCCTTGTTCCTTCTCTAGATGACCTCTTTTCCTTTTCATTGAAGATTACACTGTTAGCAATTTCAGGAGAACTCACTGACTATAAATGCTAGGCTATAAAATCTACTTTTTAGTCACATTTGTTTGACTACTATTTTGTTTCCCTGAACCACATTTATCTCACTTGCTCAAAGAGATGGATCTATCTATCATCATTACTTTCAGCAGACAATATTTATGCTATATAACTTTTTTCCTTAGTATAGAAGACCTAGCACTGCACTTAACTCTCAAATGCTTCTTCATCGATATCATTACCTGGGGCTTAACATTTGATGTAAAATGTATACACAACAAAATAAGCAAATTTTAAGTAATTTAGTGAGTTCCAACACCCCCACCTAAATTTATATGAAGATACAGAAAATTAGATGTTCTTTTTCTTCTCAGTAAGTCTTACCCCCTCCAGACATAACCAATGTTCTGATCTCTTCTACTACAGATTAATTGTGTCCTGTTTGTACTTCATGTGGATGAATGCATACAGTAGTCACTCTTTCCTGTAAGTGTTCGTGTACTGAGCAGAGTGATTTTGAAATCCATCTGTACTGTAGCCCATATCTATTCCATTGCACTAACATCGTAATTTATTTATCCACCTCCCACTGACGGACCCATAAGCCGTTCCCAGTTTGCAGCTACAGAGAACAGTGTTGTATAAGCATTCTTGTACACATCTTCCTATAGATATAGCTTTCATTTATCTTGAATAAACACCTAGGAGTGTAGTTGCTGAGTCACAGGGTAAGTAAAGATTTCATTTTATGAAGAACTCCTGCCCTATTTCCAAGTGACCATACCATTTTACCTTTCATGAATGCCTACTAGAGCTCTAGTTATTCCACATTTTTGCCAATATTTGGTTCTGTCAGTTGTTAGTTACTTTTCTATTTGCTAAGACAAAATACCCAACACCTAAATTTAAAGGAAAAAAGGTTTATTTCAGCTAAGAGTTTGTAGGGGTTTCTGTCCACAGTCAGCTGACTCCAAGTCTAGGTGGCAGGGCAGAGGAGCATCACAGAGGAGAAACAGTCCATGGCAAGCAGGCAGGGGACAGCAAAGGAACAAGGAGCTGCAAGTAGCCGCAGCAGCTTCTTCCTGTCTCTTTATATTCTACCCAGGCCAAAAGCCTATTGATTAGTTCTACCTACACCTAGAGAGGGGCACCCTTCATTCCAGCATCACATACCTAATCCCAGTATCACACCCTTCATCCCAGCATCACACACCCTAGATCCAGCCACTTTCAAAAAGCCCTATCTATGACCACACGAGTCCTTGGGGAGACATCTAGATACAAGCCACAGCATCAGTCATTTTTTAACTTGAGCCATACTGGTGAGTGTACAGTGATATTTTTGTTTCAGTTTTCATTTCTCTGACGTTCAGTGATTCTTAGCACCTTTTTGTGTACCATGTGTGCATCTCTGAGGTTCTGTGTTAGATTTGGAAATAGTATTTGATACTCGTTGAGATCCTTATGGAGAGATTTAATTATTTGTAATAAAAGATTTGTGACAGTCTGATAACTGCAATCATCCCCTAACAGAAGCAGAACTTCCCCAGTTTAACTTCCAGTTCAAAGATGGGCTTTCTACCTTTTTTAGAAAAAAAAAAAAAAAAATGCTATTATCTACCTCCTTTCCTTGAAACACTAGTGAAATTAATAGGTTACAAATATTTATTAGACATCTATTATATACTGTATTATATACTGTATGTCTATTGTGTGGTCCGCTTTGAAGGCAAAAGATTATTAAATACTTGTAATCAAGGATTTTTAAGTAGTTACCAAGACAACAATACAATCTGAAAAACAGTGAAGAATACTAGCCCATATATTTAAGAACTGAATTATGAATGACAGCCACTGAGCTAGGAAATAGTAAGGAGGTAATAGGAGGTCAGTGAGTGCTGAGCTAAATAGTTGGGATTTAGTGGAGGAAGTGTGCTCAAGCTCTGAAGGTTAGGAAGAATCCCATTAGATTTAGGTGGGAGAAGAGAAGAATGCAATTTTGGAAAAGGAACCAGCAACTAAGGGCATGAAGGTGATACTAGCCTTGTATATCAAGGGACAGAAGGGATGTCAAGCTAAATACAGTGGGAGATGCCAACTGAAAAGGGGCAAGGCTTAAAAGAGACAGGATGAAGCTCTGATTTAAAACAGCAATCAGAGCACACGCATTTTGTAGCAGAAAATGCCCCCCTTCTCTGCCAGTGTACTTCAGTATGTTAGGTGCCCAGGTAACAGCTCCTGTTCCAGTTCTGGTTGCTCCTGTCTCTTAGAAATGGCTGGTCACTGTGATGCACATTATATGAACCAATCCCCGATTGACAAGCCATTCTGCCTCTGTGCTTTCTGCTTGCTTATTCCATATAAGCCCTAGACCACCAGAGATCAGAGCCTGATATTTTGGGAGTGACCCCAATCAGTGACTATTAATGTAAAATAAATCTGCCTCCAAATCATCGGTGTCATTTCAGTGTTTCTGTTTGATGTTGCAATTTGTCTTTCACAAAACATCGTAAATAAACTGGTTGTGGTATGCTTGTAATCTCAGCACTCTGGGAGACTGAGGCAGAAGCATCACAAATCTGAATCCAGCTTGGGCAACTTAGTGATTTAGCAAGACCCTGTCTCAAAAATAAAAATAAGTTGAGTGTGGTGGTGCATGCCTGTAATCCCAGCACTCAGGAGGCTGAGGCAGGAGGATTGCTGTGAGTTCAAGGCCAGCCTGAACTGCATAGTGAAATCCTGTCTCAAAAAGACAAAACAATACATAAATAAAAATAAAAGGGCTAGTGATGTAGCTCCATGCAAAGACCTTGGGTTCAATCCTCAGTACTGGGGGGAAAAGAAGTAGTAGTGTAAGTAATTTTTTAAATGAACGGGCTATACAGGCCTTACAGCGAAGAGAATGAGTGGAAGACAACTAGAAGAAAATAGCTTTGAACTCAGTGCTAATAAACTCCTTCAATGTGGGTGTGATCAATAGGCACAGTGGAAGCTGCTGCTCTGACTGTCAGCACTGTGGAGGAAAAAACCCCAGTTAGCAAGCTCTACTGACCAGAACGCAGAACTCCCTGTCAGTCTCTTCTGTTTTCTGTACGGTTAATTAGCAGGAATTGGGGACTGAAAATAATGGTTGAGTAAATACACAAAAAATTAGTTTTTTTTTCTCTTTTTAAACATTAAAAAAAGCATCCCCAAATCATTGGGTACATGTAGAAAATTTACATTAAAAAGCAACAACAGAAGAGGGGAAAAAAAGCTGACTGCAGGAGAAGCAATTTGAGGACCAGAAAGAGAAGTTTACACTTGTAATCCCATGAAAAGTTATTGGAGTTCTAGTGAGCTAATTCCAATCTATCCCTTCCAATGCAATCCATGGTGAGAATAAAGACACTAAGGCATACTTGTAGTTATGGGGAGCCAAGGGTAAGTCCTAAGTCCAGCCGTGATGATGGCCATCCCAAACAAGGGCCTCGACCCAGGGTTGAACCTAGGTTTTATTAATTCATGAAGAAAGGAGTGGCTTGAGGACGAGTGACTGTGAGAATGGCAGGAAGGAGGTGAGTGCTGTGAGCAGGGATAGGTAGGAGGCCTGAAATCACCTCTGCAAATGCAGAAAGAAGGATCTGCAGAAAGAGTGATCTGCTTAACACAACTGAGGTAGTATCTAATGTTTCATCGGTGCTTCAGCTCTGATGTGTAATCTACAAAACCCGAGGAAGTCAGCTTCTTATCTTGAGGCTCGATCCCAGCTTACAGTGTGGAGCACTGGCTCTTTATCCTGCCTCATCTCAGCTCACTCATGGGAACAATGGGGGGTTCGGGGAAACACACGTGCTTTCTTCA